ACTTAATGTTCTGAGGTTATGGCCAATGAACTAAATTTAGTAAGGGGAGGGAGTAGGGACACAGAAGTACAACTATCTGAAAAAAGACAATTATCATGACCTCCCAAATCTTTAATTATATATCTAGAAATAGTGTGAATATCAACTCAAAAGCAAATAAGTTTAGTAAGGTGTCCAATTAGAATCAAATGTAACAAAACAGCTGTCAGATCTACCTGAAAAGATCTGTAAGGAGAAGCAGAACACGTCCCTGAATGGGAAGACGGCGGCGTGATGAGAGCAGAGCTGCTGTTGGTCTCAGCCACTTTCCTCACATGATTCAAGCAGACGGGGTTCCGAACCTCAGTTAGGAATGGATCCTGATCAGTTTTAGCCAATCATGCTAATGCCACTTCTCTTGCCGAGGACTGGCTTAGAAATGCCATGTAACCCAATCTGGCCAGCAAGAAGCAAGCATAAATCTAGGTGGGGACTTCTAGGAAAAATTACTTCGATTCTAAGAGAAACATGCAAGAAGTGGACACTGTCATTTCTGGATGAGATTCCTGGGATCTGACGGTCACTTTTCAACCACAAGGAAAGTGTGAAGAGAAAGCCAGCACACTGAGATTGTCAGTGAGGATGGGGAGACGACATCCCTCAGGACCTCAGTGAGCCATAAAACACCGCCCCCTTTCACTAAACTGCCAGTCACATGACATAACAGTGTCCTCACTGCTAAACTTAATTTAGTTGAAATTTTTGCTATTTGTAGTCAAATGCTAACTTATTCAGAAGGCAACCTCCCCAAACTAATTTATAAACATAACACAGCTCTAACAATTCATTCTCAAAGCACTTTGGGGAGCGAACAAAAAGATCTAAAATTCATATGGAAATTGAGTGAAAACCAAATGGGGAAAAATTTTGCAAAAGAAGTATGTCTGAGACCAGTATCACCATGTAACTCAAATGATATCACCTAAGTCAGACAACATATACTGTTATGAGTCATCAGATGAATAAATCAGAATGGAAAACCTTAAAAGAGACCCAAGTATATACTAATTAATATAAGCACATAATGATGATAGATTATTATCTTTAAGAAAGCAGTTACCAGGGACTTCCCCGGTGGCACAGTGGTTAAGAACCCGCCTGCCAATGTAGGGGACACGGGTTCGAGCCCTGGTCCGGGAAGATCCCACATGCCGCAGAGCAACTAAGCCTGTGTGCCACAACTACTGAGCCTGCGCTCTAGAGCCTGCGAGCCACAGCTACTGAAGCCCGTGTGCCTAGAGCCCGTGCTCTGCAACAAGAGAAGCCACCGCAATGAGAAGCCTGCACACCACAATGAAGAGCAGCCCCCGCTCGCCGCAACTAGAAGAAAGCCCGCGCACAGCAACGAAGACCCAATGCAGCCAAAAATAAATAAATAAAATAAATTTATTTTAAAAAGGGAGCCAATTTTTAAAAAATCAGGTTACAAAAAAGTCATGTACAGTATGACTCCTCATTTGCTTATTAAAATGTAAATAGCTAGAGGAAAACAAGCCTAGAAAGACATACACCAAAAAATAAACAGGAGTTCTTTTTTTTTTTTTTTTTTTTTTGCGGTACGCGGGCCTCTCACTATTGTGGCCTCTCCCGTTGCGGAGCACAGGCTCCGGATGCGCAGGCTCAGCGGCCATAGCTCACGGGCCCAGCCGCTCCGCGGCATGCGGGATCTTCCCGGACCGGGGCGCGAACCTGTGTCCCCTGCATCGGCAGGCGGACTCTCAACCACTGCGCCACCAGGGAAGCCCTAAACAGGAGTTCTTAATACAATTATGAGTGATCTTTATTTTCTTCTTAACCCTGTCTGAAATTTTCTTCAACACCCTTGTATTGCTTTTGGAGTCAAAAAAGACTGCTTTATACTCTGAAGCAACTGTCTACAGTCAATGTATAAATGAAACATAGCAAGGATGTGGATAGTTCAAAAGTGACTTATTTGACAGCTGGAACTTGTTTTTACATCTTTTGTGAATTTCTTCAAAGCACTTCCATACTGCACTGACATTTGTCAGTGTTTGCTGGGCCTTTTGCCCTTTCACTCAGCAATTATTACTGAGCCTCTATTATGTAGCTGGCACTACTCTAGGTCCTAGGGATTTAGCAGTGAACAAAACAAATGAAGGATCTTTCCCTCTTTGATAGGGAAGACAGACACTAAAAACGCTTGAACAAAAATGAACTTTAGTAGCGATACAAGCACACAACACACACACACCTACTTCCCAGGGCGACAAAGCAGAGGAGGAGAGAGGTTCAGAATGCGCACAGGTGGGAAGACTTGCTGGCAGGCTGGCCTCCTGAGCAGAGGCCTGGGTGAAGGCCACTGGCCACGGAGACAAGAGCAGGCACGAGGCCCCGAGGTGGCACTGAGCTGGGAACGTATGACAGCGAGAAGAGAGCCGGGTGGCGAAGGTGGAAGGATGGTGTCAAACAGGTGGGGAGGGGGGGGACAGTAAATCCTCTGAGGGAATGAAGGGAAGCACGACAAGCTGTGGGGAGATGATTACAGGAGTCCAGGCAAGAAGCAATGACGGCCTGGACCGGAGCGGTAGGGCAAGAGGCTGAGACGGCTGTGACATGGATGCATTTTGATGGCTGATTCAGTACAACTTGCTGGTGAATTACACGTAGGGAATGAGGAAGAAATCACAGATGATGCTTAGGTTCTTGGCCAAAGCACCGGGTGAATCGTGGTGCCATTTACAAAACGGGCTGCCTCGTGAGAAACCAGTTTGTGAGGGGCAGAAACCAAGTGACCCATTTCGGCGGGAGGGGCACTACAGGGGTAGGGAGTAAGAGGTACAAACTATTCGGCACAAAATAAGCCACAAGGATACACTGTACAACTGTACAACATGGGGAACATATAGCAAATATTTTATAGTAACTACAAATGGAGTATAACCTTTGAAAACTGTGAATCACTATACTGTACGCCTGTATCATATAATATTAGACATTAACTATACATCAACAAAAAAAAAGTTAAATCAATGCAGGAAAAAAAAAGAGAGACCCATTTCAAACACGTTAAGTGTGAGGTGACCATTAAGCATTCAGGTCAGGGTGTCAGGTAGACCATCTAACCCATGAGTCTGCAGCTCACGTACAGGCTGGGGCTGAAGATGTAAAACTGGTATTTAAAGGTATGGGACTAACTGCTGTCTCCTAGGGTGTGAGGGCAGAGAGAAAAGGGAAGTGGGCTGAAGACAGCCCTGAGGCTTTCTTTACCTTTACAGGTGACCCGAGGAGGGCAAGGGACCAGTGAGGTGTCCCAGAACCAAGCGAATGAAGGGTTTCCAGTAGGAGACAGTGACCACCTGGGTTGAGCTGCTAGTAAGTAGAGCTGGTAAGATAAGGATTGAGAACTGGTGGCCTTAATAAGGGGGGCTTCAGTGGAGTATGAAGGAGGAAAACTGAGTTATGTTCAAGGGAGAACTGGAAGACCCGTGACTACAGAAAACTCTTTGAAGCCATATGTACTGCTTTAGGGACAACAGAGTTGGCCGCTGTATCTCTAGCATCATGCTAGCTCTAGGCAAAGAGGAAGTGTGAAATCAGAGCTACTGAATGAATGTCAAATCTGAAAATTCCCTATACTTCAACCACATTAAGAAACCCGAATGCATATGAAAAGATGCTCAACATCATTAGAGAAATGCACATCAAAACTACAATGAGGTACCTACCACCTCACACCAGTCAGAATGGCCATCATTAAAAAGTCTACAAATAAATGCTGGAGAGGGTGTGGGAAAAGGGAACCCTCCTACACTGTTGGTGGGAATGTAAGTTGGTGCAGCCACTGTGGAGAACAGTACGGAGGTTCCTCAGAGAACTAAAAACAGAGCTGCCATATGATCCAGCAATCCCACTCCTGGGCATATATGCAGACAAAACTATAATTCGAAAAGACACACGCACCCCTCTGATCATAGCACTATTCACAATAGCCAAGACATGGAAACAACCTAAATGTCCATTGACAGATGAATGGATAAAGGAGATGTGGTACATGTACACAATGGAATACTACTCAGCCATAAGAAAGAATGAAATAACGCCATTTGCAGCTACCTGAATGGACCTAGAGATTATCATACTAAATGAAGTCAGTCGGAAAGACAAATATCATATGATACCACTTATATTGGGATCTAAAATCTGACACAAACGAACTTATCTGTGAAATAGAAACAGACTCCTGGTTGCCAAGGAGAGGGGGTTGGGGGGAGGGACGGGCTGGGAGTGTGGGTTTGGCAGATGCAAACTATTACATTTAGATGGATAAACAATAAGGTCCTACTGTATAGCACAGCAAACTATACCCAATCTCCTGGGATAAACCATAATGGAAAAGAATATTTAAAAAGAATGTCTATATGTGTAAAACTGAGTCACTTTGCTGTACAGCAGAAATTAACGCAACGTTGAAAATCAACGATACAAAGGAAGGGAGGGAGGGAGGGAGGGAGCCGAATGGCTGAGAGCCGGAGTGTCCCGCCCACCCCATTCTGTTCCCAGCATGACTCTTCATGCTCTTCCCTCCGCGATGAGGACAAACAGACAAAACATGAGCTTCACTTCCTCTCTCTTACCTGGTGGACACTGGGGACCAAAGGTACTTAATTAGCATTGTGACTGGTAGCTGAACCAAGAGACAAGAGAAAAAACTTCCCTTTCTGCTCCCCAATTTTCCAGAGATGATATATAACAAAAATCAACAGATATATTATGAAGATGTCACCACGGGGTTAAAAAAAACCACCAACACCAGTGGTCAAGTCATTTAAAGAAAATATCTAATTCCAAACCCTCTGAGACCTTAGAAACAGCCACAGCTTCCAAAATGAGTAACTTTCCCTCCAATTCAGATACCTTTCTGTTTCCTTTACCACAGCCTAAGAGTGAAGCCCTTTGTGGCAAAAAAGGCAACTGTCCAAAAAATAGTCAGGTTTCCCTACCTGACAAAGTGTCTTCTGATAATTCCTTTTCTCTTTCAATTTTTTCCTCTAGAGTTGAAATGCAGAATTCATAACCAGCAAGAGCCAGTTCCTGTCTGTAAAGCAAAAAGCATCAATCAGCTGCACACCTTTCACAAAGTGCTCTTCTGTCCTCATTCCTCCAGCTCAGGTTTACATTATCAAGTGTAAGACGGGAAGAGGGAATTTTGTTTAAAGTCTCTAAGAGGTGTCAATCTGCTCTTTCTCAAGAGTTTGGGTTTTTTTGGTCACCTAATTAACGTTAACTTAAGACAGAGTTTCAATAACCGACATGACCAGCCGTTCCCTTGCCTCCCACGAGCACAGTTCAGAGGGGTCAGCTCCTCCAAGTGTGAGAGCCTTACCCCTGCTCAAAGTGATACACTACCAACGGAGGCGAGGCCCCAGCAGTGAGGATGCTAACTGCTGACCTCACTCAGTTTCTGGAGGTCTGTTAGCGCGACACTTCTCCCGAGCTGCAGGTCTTTGGTGCAAGTTTCTTTTACAGCAAGGGAACTCCTAGCTAGGGTACTAGAAGGCATTTAGCCCCACGCTCTGGACCTCAGTCAACTGGAGAGGACACCCAGGCAGCAGGGAGACTGACTCCCGACAGAACAAGGGTCATCTGCTGGCTTCTACAGAGATGCACAGAAACACGACATAAACTCCGTCTCCATCCACAAGCTCAGCCCTGGTCTCTGCTCTTCCCTCCCGGCTCCCAGCCCCTCACCGCAGGCGGCACTGCCAGGCTCAGCTCTTCTCCTCTCGTGCTTTGCCAGACGACCCCGCTGTTCTGCTGTTCTCAGGAGAACCAAACCTTGGCAGGAGGGACCCTATCCGACCAGGGCACGGAACGGGGGAGGCTGCCCACAAGGCATCCTGAGTCACAGCAAAATGTCTACCAACGACCCCTCCCAATTTGTATCAGCCTTTCTCAGCCTCAGGGCCTGGCCACACATTTCCTGGTCCCATGCGTTTCTGAACAAATCAAAATGAAAAAACACTTCTGAGTAACTTGCAGGCGAACTACTAGTGGGTACTACGCAGCTTTCACCTCGTAGGAGGCCACGGGCGTGCCTTACCCTCCGACGTCACTATCTCTGGGCTGCTTCTCGCCCTGGGAGCTCACGCCCCACCCGTAGCTAGTCCTGCTGCCCAACCAAATGCCAGGAGATGGACTGGGTCCCGCTGAGAATGAAGGAGCTGCTGACTAGAGCAATTCCAAACTTCTGGTACCCAACTTCTGCAGCAAGGATAAAGCAAAGGAAAAGCCAGGCTTACTCAGGTCTTTCCTTAAATTTACCCCAAAATATAACTCTCTAGAGGAGCTCTCTGCTTACATCCTGGGTTTCTTCTTTGAACCCCACCTAGAGAAGGAAGGTACCAGGCCTCTCTCATCCGCGGCACACACCCGGATTGTCCCCTAAAGCCTTTCCTGTGTACCCGCAGACTCTTCCTTCTTTGTAACAACTCAGACTCATCTAACACTTTTAACTCAGCACTGCTTTCTGGTCCCACCTGCAGGTCTCTCCTCCACTCGTAGGTATTGCTTCCTAAAACCTAGCTACCAGATAACCTCTATGGGCTTTAAAAGCTGCCCGCTAAGCTAGCCACTAAGACATTCCCACAGCAACTCTCTCATCATTTAACTCTATACCTAACTTCCTGGTTTGTTGATCCCTAAACCAGTAAAATACATTATCCCCAGCAGCCTTTACAGTGCCCCCTCCTCTCCTAGGAAAAGCTAAGCTAAGGTTCTAAGTACAACTTCCCTTCCCAGTTCAAGTAGGAAGAGAAAACTTGCCTAGATTTGTCACGGTGCAGCCAAAGGTACGAGGGCTGCATGTCCCGCTCAGCAGCTAATGGAAACAGCAGGGACAAACCCAGAAAAGACTCAAGATTTCAAAGCTGAGGAACGGAGCACTATGAGTGTGACACCTAAGTTCTGGAGACCCAGGTGACTAGCAGGTAAATGGCAAGTATGCAACATCCCAGGGCCAACGTTCTGCCCACAGCCCTGGCTGCCTCCATGCCTAGATTCTGACTATACTTACCTATTCTGAGCAGCATAAATAGTGGCCAGCTTTAGAGAGATTTCTATTATTGCATTGTCTTCCTGTTGGGAAAAGAAAATGAAGGAAATTCATAACAAGTACAGTTTCCTCATGGGATATTTCAGACCAACCTCTAGACTGACTCTGACCTAAAAGCCACAGTCTTTAGACTTTGGGAGGAATCAGGCAACTGTGAATTCCTCAGGTACCGTGCTCTTGCATGAATGAAAGACTGGCAATTTTTATACCAGTCTTAGGGAAAAAGAATTCCAACGCTTTGGCCAAAGCACACGTGGGAGCTGGGTGGAGTTCACAGGACGTAAGACGTTTGGAAACAGCTTCAGCTAGGGAGCAATCCTACGTCGCACCCTTACCTGCTGCACGCCCCCTCCAAGCAGGTAACTCATTGTTGCTTTAAAAAGTTTCTCCGCCTAAAAGCACAAGGAAAAGATTTTTGTTTTATTTGGGTCCCCTATCCAGATGACCCTGGATTCTAAGTACTAGTCTGATGTACCATTCCTTGGAAAACACAACACACTACACACACACACACACACACTTACACTCACATATACAAAGAGAAAGGTAACCTTGTGGTGGGAAAACAGACTAAAATGCCAGGACTGCACATCCTCTGGGCACCCTGAAAACTATTCTGTGATGAGTAGAAACCAACTTCAGAAATTAACTTCCCTTCCAAACCCACTGTGGCAGGGACTGGAAACTACCCCCTAATATTCACCCTCCTCTCCATCTCTTTAGTTAGACTCTCCTCAATTTTTACCAGGTCAAGCCTCCTTTGCAGTTAGGTGTGGTCATATGATGAAGCCGTGGCCAAGAGATGCACGCGGAGCGCATGTGAACAATCTCTAAGTCACACTTTATAGGGAGCTGCTTGCCCTCCGCCCTCTCCTCTGTCCCTGCAGGCTGGAGGCGCGCCAGCTCTCTTACACAGATGAGGACCTATCTCAGAAGGGACCTGGGCTTCTGGGCCACCTCATGGAGCAGAGGTACCTACCATCTTCAGGGTTTAGCTACCTCTGGATTAATGCATTAAAGGGAAACATGCTTCCTTCTTATTTGAGTCACTCTATTTTGGGGTCTCTTTGTTACAGCAGCTTAGCCTGTTCCCTTACTAACAGAGGTTCCTTCAGGCTAGCCCTTCACAAATTCATGACATTACAAAGTGATTTACTTACATTTTCAAGCTGACCCCGTATAAATGCTAAGTTGGCCATCTGAAAATTAATTACAAGTTGTTTTTAAGTTTAGAGCATTGTATTCCTACTTACTTCAAAACGTTTAAGCTAAAGACTCCCCTTTGCTTTCACCCTCTAGCTAAAAAAATAGTCCAGAGAGAAAAGTATGTCACTGATCTGCCAGTAGCAAAGTACAGCAATGGTGTGAGAACAAATACGCGCACAGACTTCGACGATGACAAACCAAATCTAGATCCACTCTTCACTGAAGAAACAAATATTAACGATATTCATTTCTTTTCTGTCTGTGATTGAGGCGTCTTGTGACACCCCAAGAGTAATAAAAATTGAAACCAAAAGAAAACTTAGTAAAAACAAAAAGCAAAGAGCTTCAGGGCCTGCTGCAGGTCAGGAACATGAATCAGGTGCCTAACCACCCTTCTCCTGCATCCACCCTTAATCATCAATGGCTCAGACTGGTGAGAGGAGTTACCAAATCGTAAGTGTAAGTGACGGCCTTCTTGTTATCACTCTTATAGGCAAGACGAAGAGCATCATGCAAAATTAGCTCTGCCTCTGCTGGCTCATCTTTCATGATGCACAACTGAAAAGAGAAAACAAAGAAAATAACAGAAAATGAAATATGAAGAAAGCAGATGCCTGTGCTACCACACGGAAGTGGGTACAGCTATATGTCCCAACACACAGAAGGAAGTTATTCATTCATTCGTCACATACTGACTGAATTCCTACTATGCACCAGGCATTATGTCTACAATGGTGACAGGGAGTTCAGCCTCCCCTGCAGCTGTTTGGCCACATGACAAAACTCTGGCCAACAGATGCAGGCAGCAGGAACGTAAGCAATTTTTATCAAATCTTATAAGGAAGCTGCTGGCCCTACATCCTCTTTCTCTCTTCCTGCAGGCTGGAAGTGACCCTGTAGGACAAGTAAGCTTAATGACAACTAATGATAAAAGCTAGGAAGAAAAGCAACAGAAAGGAACAATAAGGGGTCCCCCTCAATGGGAGTCAGAGAAGCCTTCCAAGGAAGTGCCAGTTAAACTGAGGTAAGAAGGAAGAGAAAGAGTCAACCAAACAAGGAATTGGGAGGAAAATGACCCAAACAGAGAGTAGGGAACGAGCAAAGGCCCTACAGGCTGAAGAAAATGGTTCTTCAAAAACCAGTCAAGGGCTTCCCTGGTGGCGCAGTGGTTAAGAATCCGCCTGCCATGGGCTTCCACGGTGGCGCAGTGGTTGAGAGTCCGCCTGCCGATGCAGGGGACACGGG